CAGTCTAAAACTGGTTTATCAGTTTGTCCTTGCGGTTATCAAAACACGTTGCTTTGTAAGCTGTGCTTTAAAAGCATGGTGCATCTTCAACTAGCACCACAGAAAACAATCGGAGCTGTTGTCTGACAGCCTCCAGCTACCTGTCTGCAGAATGACAACAAAAGGGTAATTATGACACGGGGGTAAGAGTGAGTGAAAAACTGCGTGGTGATTAGTTGCTGGCTGGTGTTAAACACATAGGTTTCACTACTTTTACTGGTAATAAGGCTTCTGATTATTTAAGATGCTTTATTATGGTCTGGCAAAGTTACACTGCTTCCTTAGGATGACTGCAGAGATGATGGAGTAACTAACAGTTTTTACAATGAATCAGTTGAAGCCGGGATTGCAGTTCAGTCAGATGTAGCTCTCAGTAGCAACACAGATCTGAAGTACTACCGTACCCATAGGTTGCAATATTCTGCCAGGTCGTAACGCAGATATTTGTCAGATTGCAACATGTATGGGGTTGGAAAGCTGATCTGGCGTTGAAGAACACAAATGTATTCATGTTAAAATTAGGTAAATTTGTGTTCTGCTGTTTCATGTGGTTTACCACTTCTGTCATGAGAAAATAGTTGAAAAGCTGGGTGGGAAGAGAACTCAACAGAAGTAAATTCTAAAATCCATTGAATTTAAATTTCAGATGAAATGACAGCAGCTGACCTCAAACAAAAAAAGTTGAGTTCAAGATAAAGATGTTGAGTAGGATAATTGCAGTGTACGTGGTATGGAGAAAGCAGCTGATACCCATTACTGCTGTCTGCTTTTATTATGATATTATAATTTTAAACCAGTGTAAAAAGACAATTTTTCTCCTAAACCATCATGCTTCTTGTTTGGGAAAATAGATGCATTTGAAACACATAGGCCGGTCTTTAGAAAGGTATGTATTTAGCTGTGTTATAGGAATGGACGTTTTTGTATGCTTTGCCATGGGTAACATTTACTATTGCAAGTTTTCTTTCTTAAAACTTCAGTAAAAATTTAGATTTCTTACAGCTTTCAGCAGGTGACTGGTGCATGTGTCTGGGCTGAGTGCTGCTAATAAAAAGGAAAATCTGGGCCAGATTCAAAGTTTGAAAGCTGTTTTTAACTTCTACCATCTTTGAAATAACTTATGTCTTAATTTGTAGCAAAACTGTTAAATATTGGGTTACTTTTCTCCTGGAATTATGTATTCTTAGTTCATAAATCTTAATTTTAGTTCGTTTGTGGAGAGGTGGCATACTTCTGTTAGGTGTTTTATAATGGAGATTTATTTCTTAGTGTTTCTTATGTTGCTAGGTGATCTTGTTTACTTTTTTGCCTCGATGATTTTTATTTTTTTTTTTTCTTCTTCCCAAGTGGTGTTGAGTTAGTGCTATTGTCTGGGTGGAAGTCTCCAGATCTGACTCAGAATGAATCAACTGTTGTGTAAGCTGGTTTTTACTGGCATATACCACAGTGTTACCTCTTACTTTGATATCAAAGCTGATTATTTTAATAACTTGGAATAATATATAATTAATTGGTTGTCAGGGGTTCGAGGTAGGAAGGAATTCAGTTAAATAGTGTGCTGCAGGTAATGATCAAACAGTATTGCAGTTCTTAGTTTTTACCAGAATTGGGAGTTTTAGTGACAAAGTGAATTGAGCAGTATGTGCGCTACAGATAAGCAAAAAAATTTTTGGTCTTTTGTAGCATCTGTGGCCTACTCGTCATTTATGTAATTGCCTTTTCTTGAATATTTTGTCTGCCAATGTTGTCTCTTACTGCTAGTCCACGCTGATATGCTTGCAAAGGCATTATAGCTTAAGGATAAGGAGATTTAATTTAATCTTAATATTGAAGCTGATTTAGGCTATATCATGAAAAAGGAGGAAGCAGACATTTAATCTAATTTTCTTTTGTCCTCCCCTTCTCTCATCCATAACCTTTTGCTAAAGCAATTTAAAGTTAGATCATGATCTTATTTGCACAGTTTCCTTCATGGTATGTGACAAGAAAAACTGAGTTTTCTTACAAAAGTGTGTCAGCAACTAGCAGTAAGCCCCAACTGTGTCAACAAATGATTGTAATTTTGGAATATTAGCAAGTTTTACTTCTTGACCATCTTTTGGTTTGATTTTCAAGGTGTTTGATCTGTGAACCTGATAAATAAATTTGACCTGGTTGAGATAATCTGTCAGCCTCTGTAATTTAAACCAGTATCTTGGAAACCTTGAACTTACTCTTTTTCTCAACATCTTCCTTCATTCTATATGTTGCAATTTCATCCTGAGGTCAAGTAGTAGGTTTGTGTTTAAGCTAACCTAACTGGTAGTTCAGTGCATATTAAACATGAGGACAAGGCTACATTACACTTACAGGACATAACACTTTTTGGACAAATTTTGAACAGAAAAAGAAAGGGAGTGATGACTTAAAACCATTGAAATGGGAATAAAAGCAGAGATGTGGAGAAGAAAGACTATGAAGGAGAGAGAGATTAGGAATGAAGTTGATGAAGGGGAAGTAAGATAATTAGGAAAAATGAACAAGAAAATGCAGTAAAGGCAGTGGAAGCAAATCAGATAAGATCTAGCTGAGGGTTTTATTTGGCACCTGTTGTCACAATATCTGAGCACATTTTATATCATTGATAGTGACAGTGAAATAAATTGTGTTTCTGATATTTCTTGCTTGAGTTAGCGGGGTCTTTAGGTGTATGGGAAGAGTGAAGTCTAGAATGAGAAGGGGATTCCTATGCTTTATAACTTCTGTACTTGCTGTGGAAAGGTGGTCTGAAGTTTTGCAGTGCTTCCGATCCTGGATTTTCGTTTTTATTTTACTTTGGTTGGTTTTGTGTTTTTTCCCTTGGGAGGCTCTTTTGTAGGTAGATAGTTTTGCACTGATGTACTGTGCATGTCTCTCTTGGTGACTTTCTTTTACATTGACATTGCCCCAGAATACTCTGTGTTTAAGAGTTTGCAGATTGCTCCTTGGTCTTAACATGGCAGGGAAATAATCTGTTATTTGGGAACAACTGTGGTAACTAAAAGCAACAAGCAAAAGGGTGGAGATACAGAAAAGGGTAAAGAGAAGGATGAATAAAAAAGATTAAAACTTTTGCAAAATTTTATAAATTATGGAGTAGATTTAGAAACAATTTAAAATCTATACTACTTCAGGAAATATTTTAAAGCTATTTTGAAAATTATTTATTACATAGAATGTGGGACTGGATGGATGTGTATTAATGGATGTGACTTTACAGTCCTGTGTTAGCTATGGTCTGGCAGCTTGCTTCTGAAAATTAAGCAGCTTGAATTCTAAAATCAGACTATCTCAAATGGCATGTTTTGACAGAATTTTCCTGTGGTGGTTTGTGGTGGTCTAGTATCTGTCCTCCCTGCTGGCACAGTACCCAGCCCTGAGGAACTGCTGGTCACGAACAGAGTCTGTCAGCTCTACTAAGAACAAGTAGAAGCCTAAATTTAAATTCCTGTACTTTTTATAGATAGCTAGAATACACATCCCATGAGAGTATCCTCTTTTCTCCCATCTTGCTTTGAGCTTTCAGATGGTAAACAGCAAGAGTGACAGAAGAATGTATTAGAGGTTGTTCAGTTTCATTACACTAAAATGGCAGCAACTGCTGCCTCGGGCTTCTTAGGCTGCATTGATAATGACATTTCATCTTCAGTCAAAAGACAGTAAACTAATATACTGCAGTGAAGCTGAGTTTTACAGTGCTTGCACTAAAATTGAACTTGTTTTCCTTGATGATCCCAGGTGTGGTACTCCCACACTGTAGTAATCCAGTTCCAAGTGGATGGAGTGGAATTTTCTGTAAGAATAAGGAAAAAAAAATATTGGTTTTTAAGCATCTTTTCCCAGCTCCCCAGGGGCAGACCTTATTCCTATATGCAACTTTATATTGCAAGGTGGATCCTTCAGAGCATGTTCTTAATGTCCTTTGAATTTCTTCTATGTTAAAATATCCTGTTGTTCTTCTTATAATGGTCTGGAGTAAATGACAAATACAGGTGTTTTTGGAAACACAAAGCTTGGACATGATTTTGGGTTTAGGGTTACCAAACTCAGAGGTGACTTGTCTTACTGTCTTGGGTTTGCCAGGGTATGACCCTGAACATAACATTATAACAATGTGGCATAAGATAAGACTCATTATTAAAGCAGATAGATTAGTAGTTGCTAGAAGAATTTTTTTTTTTTTTTCCTCGTGTTACCCCTGAGTTATCAACATCTAATTAGCCAAATACTTCTGGCATACACTTTACCTGTTGCTTTTGCAAGTCTCGTATGTTTGGTGATTCTTCAGGTTCTAGTATCTGTCCTCCCTGCTGGCATAGTACCCTGCCCTGAGGAACTGCTGGTCATGAACAGAGGCTGTGTGCTCTAAGAACATCTAGGAAGCCTAGATTTAAATTCTTATCTGTTTTATAGATATCTAGAATACAAGTCGCAGGCTCTGCATTTTCTCTTGGAACACTTAATCTGGCTCTAGTCTGCTGCTAGCTGCCATATTGATCAATGAATGAAACAAACCCCAAATTATTTTGCCATTAGGATTGTTGTTGGAGTTCTTGGTTAATTTTATAAGCTATAGAGAGTGTTGTTTACTAATGTCTATGCTATCAAGACTAGCATATACTAGCAATTTTGTAAAGCTGTATTTACTTACTCTGGAGAGTAAGTAAATACTGTTGGCAGAAGTTAAAATGCTTTGGCATTGGTACCAGGAAGTGGAACCACATTAACTAATGAATAGAACAAGAATATCACATCAGCACAACATGGCTGAGAATTTCAAAGCACGCAAGTTTTTTAATTTTAGTTTGAAAAATTTACATATTCCTTGCCTTCTCCCAGTTGAAATGCATTCAAGAAAAGCTTTCCATTCAAGTTAGTCCTACAGAGTTGTTGATGGATGACCTTGAGTGCAGTATTACCTAATGTTTTCTTCTTTTTTACAGAAAGATCCAGATTACCTGAAGCTCTGGTTGGATAGTTTTGTTTCTAGCTATGAACAGTTTCTGGATGTGGACTTTGAGAAGCTGCCAACTAGGTATGTAGAATTACAGACCTGTTCATCTTTGATGCCTGAAACAGACCTGGCTGAGAGCCCAGTCTTGTTCAATGGCAATACTGCCTTTAAACAAAACAAAGATTTTTTTTTATTATTATTATTTTTTTTTTTAGTTGTTGAGTGGCACTCCTATTTTTATTTTTTATTTTTTTAGGTCAAGTTCAGTTGGGAGTGATGAAACTAGGCAAATACTGGTATTTCCATTATACCAGGAGATGGCATGGGTATTCACTTGTTCTTGCACATATAAATATAATCATTATTCCTTGTGCATTTTGAAATAAGCATTCATTAAATGTTGCAAATGAAATAGTATTAGTTAATATTAGTGTTTGGTATCTGTTTCAGCAGTGACTGAAGAGAAGTAAGAAGTAGGTAAAATTTTTGCAACTTTATTTCAGAGATTGCTTTAAGATTACTGATGAGATGAAAATCTCAATGATAGACTTGGGTATCTTCACTGAAAAGCTTTTAAAAATTAAAATATGCACAAATGATAGACATGGAAGTGATTTCTGTGTTTGCATCCCTGAAGACTTCAGTTCAGGGCAAGAGTATTGCTGACTTCACTCGTGTTGCTGACCACGAGCTCTCAGATATAATCATGAGGCAGTATTGAAGTCTCATTTCAGAGGTCCATGTTCAGTATTTTGAATTTGCTGTGTTCCAGGGGTTGTGTTTTCAAGACTAACTTTGCAAATAAGGAAGAGAAACTTAAGCACTGGCTGTTTTCTCTTGCTTTTGAGATGCTTGGATGAACTAATGGTTTAAAGAAAAAGCAAATGTTACAGAATTCAGAAATCATGAGAACTGGTGTCAGTATTATAGCTGATACTGCTCCTGGTGTTTGCATGCAAAGAATGGCTCCCCTTCCATGATGGCTGCAGTCCAAGCTCTGTTGAAATCAATGGAAATTCTTTAATGCGGTTTGGATCAGATCCTGTTTGAAGTGTAAGTGATAGCCTGTACTGTTATGAGGAAATGAAGAATGCTGCAACTGGATCTCAGTGGATTAAAACTGGGCTTCTTAAAATTTTCCTCATAATGTCGGTATGAATACAAAATATATAGTGCAATTACCAATAAGCAAGACCTTCCAATTAAATCTGTGCTCTTTCAGAAGATCTGGCTTTTTTGCAGTGTCAAGAATGCATCTTACTATGTTTAGTTAAGGAAAAAGTTTATTCTTTGACACAGGTTATCTTTAATGTTCTATTTAATATTGAAATCTGAACAGTGGAAGAGAAAGATATCTTGGTACTTTAGGTTTTTTAGGTGGGTTTTAGTTTATGTGTGTTTGTGTTTTTTGAGTTTGGTGGGTTTTTTTTAGCAATTTAACAAAAGATAAAAAACAACCATGAAGCTTAGGTGTGCAAAACAACAGCAGCATCTTCATTATGCGAAATGATGGTTTAGTGAGCATAAAAATTTTCAGAGGTTAATGACAGGATTAGTGATTTAGTCTGGAAGAATAGGCCCATGTGGATTTAGACTCATTTGTGTAACAGATGTAGAGAAAATGTATCAAAACAACATAGGGATGAAGGCAGATCATGCCTGTGCTTTGATGGCTGGATTAAAAATTACACATTTGAGAGCAGAGATTAGACTTAACAAAGAATTGCAGTTTCTGCCCATATTTGCATTTGTGAGATAATCAGGCACGTGAAAAGTGGTATCTTTCTGGGTTTTGTCAATTTATATTTCAGGCATTTACATTGTGGAACTGTTATTACTGAGCCTGCAGAAAAGAACAAGTAGGTCAGTGTGGAACCACCAAATGCTGATTTCCAGTGACTCATCTCTCGGGGCCGTAGGACCATGTGGACTTAACTTTTTTCACTGGAGTTGCTTATTAAATAATTCTGTATTTTCATCTTGGAAATGATATATGATGCTAGCTGAAAGGAGAAACTGAGTGGACTACTGCTTTTTTTTTTTTGCTTTTTTTTTTTCCTTATATAAATCTTAGTATGCTTTACAGCTATATGTGTGGAAGACCTTGTGTACTGAAGGGCAAATGCCAGGAAATAATGAAAAACTGTTTAGGGAGAAGAAAGCTTGTCCAGACTGCTGGACAAAATTAACCTTTTAGAAGACAAGCATGAATTTTGTGCCAATGTAAAATTGGTTTATTTAGCATCCAAGAAAACACCACTTTAAGAAATGTAATGAAACTGTTAGTGTGTTGGGTGGTTTTTTTTCCTGAAAGAAGGCCTCTTGATTGGCACTGTTGCTTGCTGATTTAATTGATGAGTATTTTTTCTATAAATTAAAATATATAATTTCCTGAAATCTGCTTTGGAAATCTGAAAGATGCTACATCATGCAGAATTAGGAAATCTCTGAATACAGAGGATGAGTGTATCAGTGGTATGATTTGACTGTATAACTAGAGCTTATACAGTTATGCAGTTTATAGGCTTATACAGCTTCAGTTCTGCCTCCATCTTTGTGCATCTACCCTATATTTTTAAGTGAAGTGTTTCATTAATGGTGTCTTCAATTATACTGGAAAGATGAGGTCATTTTGCTGAAAAAGTGAAAAAAACTAGGCTGATAGCTTTGAGCACTGAGCACAAAAGATTAGTGTACCTGTCCTTTCCCTAAAAACATTTATTCATCTCATACGTATTTACTGTGAAAAGGATAAAACCTTTACCAGCTGGTGGTTTTTTGCTCCCTCATTGAAGTAGAGGAATTGTCATGTGTTTTAGTACTTTTAGAAACAGCAAAGGCCTCCAGAGTGCTGTCATGGCCTTTTTGTGCTTTTGGTTTGCATGATCCTTGAGCAAAGGAGCGTAAAGGAAGCTCATGCAAAGTACTGTAGAAACTGTACTTTGTTAATTTGTTGACATGAAACCCACATAAAAATGATGCAGGAATCATGATAGGAATGCTGATTACATGGTTTCATGGTCATTGAAAAGTGAAGCCAGGTTTATCTACAGCACTTTGTTCTAAAGTGCTTACCGCCTAAAGTGCTTACCACTGGTGGAGGAGAGGTTGAAAGTCCCAGTGTGTGAGTTTGAGCTGTAATAGGTGAAAACAATTTAGAGACTAATTTAATTTCGTTCCAAACACCTGAAATGGTAATTTATATTGCTGCATAGCCATGTCGATGTAATGCAAGGAAATAATAAATAAAAACCCCCCAAGTGTGTCGAGGTCTGTCTCATATTTTTGAGGTAGGGTAGCAGCAGTCAAATAAGAATGTCAGTTAAGGTATGAATTTTGAGATTTTTTTTTTTTTCTTCCTTTTGAAATACTTAGTTTATGCAGTTAGTCTTGTGGACATGTAGCATCAGTTTTCCCTGACAAGTTTAACTTCTAGATTTTTTTGCGGTTGATGCAGTATTAATTTGTGCTGGGATGAAAAGAAGTTTGATTTTTTTTTTTTAATAAATATTTATTTATATGCTCTATACGGTATTCAGTTCAAGTAATCCTGATTAGTATTTCTTGTGCCAGTCTAGCATGAGGCAGTAAATTCTCATGGATTGCGCAATAGCACAGACAGGCAGCTACTGCAGAGAAAACATTCTTTGGGATGTGAGGCATGAAGGGTATGCTGTTTGCTCTCTTGTAAAGCATTTTATGGTCTTACTGAAAAAGTCTTGTTGGCCATTTTAGGGAAATTACTTCTGGATATATGATTTCAGTTGTCAGAAACTATGGTCTTCTGAATACAGAGATAATAAATTATCAGATTATGAGGGGCTGTGCTTATAGTCCCAGAGGGTATGGATCTGCTGGCATCTTGAGGGGTGAAGCTGCTCGCAGGAATTAAAATTTCTTTCTTGTCAGTTGTGTTGGAAAAAAAAACAGTCCCTCTCAGTTTTGTGGTTGGTGTTTCTAACAGTTTAGAACCTAGGCTCTATAAAGTTTGTGTTAAAACTTTCTGAATCCCTTGATTCCTGTATCCCATGATCTGAAAAGCAAATTGCACAAGAGGCAAGGGAATGAACAGTATTTGGTCCTCTGTATACATATAGGTAACACTTATTTTCTAGGACATGGGAACTTGCTGTCACTTATAACTGTCTAGTTGTTTTACTGTTAGGTCTGTTTTTCCTTTCTATACAGCCTTCCTTTTCAGCTTTAGAAGCTAAATAATGTAGTGTTTCTTGTTTCCCTCAAATAATCAGTATCACAGTGTTTAGTGTCAGTCATTGCATTTCTCCACACTTTTTGATACTTATTCTTACACAGATGTATGTATGTAAGTGTAATATTAGTGTCTTTTTGAGTTAGCTGAATTTTTTGTTTTATTTTTTCCCCTGGCCTTGGCCATGGTTGAAAGCTTTTGTAAGCTGTAAGGCTCTTGCTTATGTCTTTGTTTTTCCTGTGTTCATAGAGAATGTATCAGGGTAAACAGCTGATGCCAGAGGCAAACTCTCTTTAGTATGTGCAACAGTGGATAAACAGTCTTCATCCCAGAGAATGTTCTACACATCTACATATTTCTATACTGATGCTGAAGTGGGATTCTGTATGGCTGTTCCTGGAGCATTGGCTTAGTTACTGGCTTTATTTGTGATTTTTTTTTTTTCTTTTCTTCTTTTGATTCTCACTGGTGTGTTTTTAAAAACGTTTCAGTTTAGTAAAAACAATAGGAAAGAGTATGTAATGTTCTTCAGGGCCAACTTGGTAGAGTTGTTACTCTTTGTCTCCTAAAAATAATTAGAAGGCAGAAAAAACTTATTTCCTGGGTTAATGATATCCAGAAACTGATAAGGATGGGTCAGCTTTTAATGCAAAATCTGTGTGCTGAAAGTCAGATTGATTTTTTATTTTTTTTTTTTTTTTTTTTTTTTCAAGTCTTCCTTTGTTTAATACTATTGTGAGCAGCTTTCTTTTTGTATTGAATCTTATTTTGTACATTGAATCTTATTTTGTACATGTTTTTGCAATTCATGTAAGAAAGCTATGAATTTCTCTGTGGATGAATACCAACTGGGCTTCAATAACTACTTAATAATTGACATCTCATTTATTTGGACACTTTTAATCTTCAGTAGAAAGTTGAAAATGTTCTCCTTGTGTTTAGTTTTCAATTTCATTCCATTGTGGCCATTTCTTTCCTTATTTAGGGATTTCCCAGGCTACACGTTTATCTGCTGAAGATCATGCAGTTTGTGTGTGGCAGTTAAGGCAGATCATTGCATGGAGGAGCATTTAGGAACCCACTTAATGAATTCTTAATACTTTTTCTCAATGCAGTTCATTACTGGGGAAAAGGAACCTCAAGCTGGCATATTGCCACCAAGCATTTCCTTGTGGTTCATTAGAAAGTGTGAGCCATCAGTTCAGTAGCCTTTCTTATATAGGCTTATTGGAATGAGTACATATAAATTGATTGGTAACGTGTCACTTGAATGATTAACAATCTTGTGTGTGGTTTTTCTCTTTAGGGTGGATGACATTCCTCCAGGAATATCACTGCTTCCTGATAACATTCTTCAGGTCCTTAGGCTACAGCTGCTACAGTGCGTCCAGAAAATGTCAGATGGACTAGAAGAGCAGCAGCAGGCTCTGTCACTTTTACTTGTGAAATTCTTTATCATACTTTGCAGGTATTTGTTCTGATTGTTACCTCTGCAAGGCTATTGTTTTATTTCAGAAATCTTGATGCAACCTATAAATATAGATTCTAATGGCACATGCAGTGTAATTTGACACTTCCCAATAGAAATGAAGAAATGCCATTTCTCAGAGTCTTCAAAATAAAGGAAGAAGGAATAAAAGAGAGAGATGAGAATAGTTTAATAATTTTAGTAATAATGTTTGCCATGAGAAATGGAGTAGAAGGGGATTAGACACTAAACTTCTTGACATTACATAAGATTTATCTATGGGAATTCAAGATATGGTATATCTGGTATATGAAATACTTTTAAAAGAAAAGGCACACTTAAGTTTTGGATATGAAATAACTCGAGAGACAATTGTACAGGAAGAATGGTTTCACATTCTTAACATGCTTATAATGCCATAAACAGCTTAGGAAACTGTCTTATTACACTATTAATGCAGCTGGCTTCTCAAACTTTTGCCTTATTCTGTAATTCTGTTGAGGCACGTGAATAAACTGTTTTTAGGGTTCCATTCCTCGCTATTTCTTCAGTTTTCTGTTGTAAGCTGCATTAAGAGAGGAAGGTGATAAAATGTAATAGGGATTCTCCTTTTCTGAGGAGTATTTGGAACAGCTCTTTTTTGAGTCCTTTGGCTCTCCTTACCACTGAAACAGTACAAAGGGTTCTTGGGCAGTGTTAAAGTATCCAGGAATAGTGGTGGTAATGTGTTTATGAATTACAAACTGTTACTGGTCTTACTTAATTGCTGAAAAGTTCTCCTTATGTCATCACTTCAGTATCTGATCCTTGTGACTTGTCCTTAAGACTGAGAAATAACACGTGCATGCTGTTTCTTTGTTGTTGATTTATTTGTGTTCTAAAATAATCTTAGATGTTTGTGCTCCTGGGAGAATTAGAGTGAATAAATGCTTCTAGGTAATATGTTTGCTCAAGTTTTTGAAAATGTATGCAGTAGTAATGTGGGAGGAGTGGAAGTTACTGTCTTTGTTATCAGATGCCATTTCTGAGCTTTCTATTTAGAGTGTCCTGGGAATCTGCTTAACCTCTGAAACCCCGAATTCCAGATGGAATTGGCCTACAGCCAGGCCTTTCCTTTCCTTCCTGTTTGAAGAAAACTTGAGCTCTGTTACTGTTACAAACATTTGAGTACATGCAGTCTTTTGGAGAGTATGTTTGAAATGCCAATATACTTTTGTATGATGATAGATAGGACACTAAAACAAACATTGTTTGAACTAGCCTCAAATAGTACACTGTGTACATTTCTGTGGTTTTTATGTTGTCTTCATAGAAATTTGGCTAATGTGGAGGAGATTGGGATGTGTTCATACATTAACCATGTTATCACCATGACTACGTTATACATTCAACAGGTATGTGGTTAACAATTCTCATCTGTTATTTTTGCCATCTGATACTTACTGCTCCAGCTTGCATGATCTGCTTTTTCAATAACAGTGTGTGGGGAACAGTTTGTGGGCTCAGAACTGTTCTGGAGAAGATTAAGATTAATTTTCAACTTCTAGAAAACTTCTGACCACAGCTTTCTTTTTTTTCCCTCAGTTAAAAAGCAAAACAAAAGAAAAAGAAGTGGCAGATCAGACCCCCATAGAAGAATTTGTGAGACATGCATTGGCTTTTTGTGAAAGTCTCTATGATCCATATCGAAACTGGAGGCACCGAATTGCAGGGTATGTGTGAACTAGGACAGGATTATACATACTGTGGTTTATTATAACTTTATAGATAAATAAGTTTCTGACAGAACTACTGCTGCCTGATGTCAAACTAAACTAAAAAGTAGTTACATGTATATTCTGCTGTTGCATTTTTACAACTGTTAGCCCTTAATACTGTGTTTTAGTTTTGTGTTTTTCTTTTTTTTCCCAAAGATAACACTCTTCAGAATAGTATTAATGAAATCGTTTTTCTACCAAAATTAACATCACAAAGCAGGTGTACTGGAAGGTGAACTTCATTGCCACCAAAGTTGTCAGGGTACTAATACCTCCTGTTCCATTTCGTGGAAAGCTGAGTTTGTTAGGCTTTTTGAAAGGTGGGAGTTAGAGCCAAACAATCAGCTTTCTAAGCTGCTTAATTTCTGTCATTCTAGACACAGGCCCTGTTCTTTGAAACCGCTAATGATTCACTTTATCTGCTATAACTGGCACTTCAGAGACCTCTTATAAATTTCTGTGAGACCTTTTTCACGTTTTCCCTTAATAGCCCCAAATTAATTACAATAATGTTAAATGTATATAGTCTTTTATAGTTCATGTGTTTTTCTGCTGTCTGTACAAGGGCTGAAGTTGTTTGCTCCTTGCCGCCTTCATTCAAAGCTGCTTTTCCTTTAGGTCCTCAATGTTATTTCCATAAAGACCGTTTTGACATGCATCAAATACTGGACCTGTGCATGCATATAACTAAAGGCATAGAGAGATCATATCTCATGTTACCTAGTCTTGTAAAACCTCAGGTCCATTCCCACAGCATACAAATATTGTGATAGCTCTATGACTTGCATTTGTGCAGCAAGTCATTTGTCTGACTGTGCAGAGTGAGGATCACATGAGCTGTGTACTTTGGCTGCTGGGGTTTCTTTGTTGCTTGACACCTGCAGTATGCCTAACACTGCATGGACTGCAGGCTTCGTGAGGCTGTTATGGAAACAAAAGGTAGTATTCTCAATAACAGCTTAAATCATTGTGCACAAAGTTTTAAGTAGCATGTAAGGATCATAACTTCCGGTATTTTTTGTGCAACATGAGAATTCCCCTTTTCTAGGACTGAGCATGAATTGGCACCAGTTCTCACATATGGCTTGCCAGCACACTGGTAAGCTGTTTTCAGATTCAGCATAGGTAATGCCAGCACATCTCATGCTGTTTTAGGTAGAGTATTCATACTCAAAATCAGTGAATTTACAACCGATGAAGGTGCAGAATTTGTCAATTAATTAATGTAATCACACCACAGAAAAGTGTTATGCTTTTGGAAACTGGGTATGATTTAAATACCTTTTTAATATTAAATTTGAGGATATACTAAGAGGTGTTTGGTTGTAGCTGACCAACATGAGGTTCCTCCCATTGCTTTTTCCTTTGAAAAACTGGCCCATTTTTCTAAACCGGTGGAACAAGGAAGCCAAAAGGAGTGGGGTTGGCAGACCTGGATGAATTAGGGCAAAAGAAGTTATTGAAGATCACAGTATAGATATATTTTATGTTTGAGAAGAAGTTTATAAGTGTATCAGTAGAATTAGATCCCTCTAATTTGATGGTGGGTCCCCCCACCCCAGTGAACCCATAATAACATTTTGTGTCCATTTCAAATTGCATGGTTAAGAAATTTGGCAGTCTAGCTGGGAGCTTGGTTACAGTAAGTAAAGACTAAATAACAGATTGCTGGCGCTTTTTTTTTTTTCTTTAAATTATACCATATTGTAAAAAATTAAGGTGTTTCTAGGAGCAGAACAGTAAATATGGGATTAGCTGTGGTTCATTGTTTCAGGATGAAATACTACTTTACTATTTTTTTGATCCTGTAGGCAAAAGATAACTTCTGATTTTTGGCAGTGTTTTCTATTATGAAGTCATAAATTAGTAAGTCAGTCATAATCAAAGGTATCATACCTAATTTCTTTGGTGTATCTTTTCTAATGTAATTGCAGACGCTTCCTTAGTACAGTTGAAAGGAGCAGACAGAAGTATAAACCAGCTTCCCTCACTGTTGAGTTTGTCCCTTTCTTTTACCGTAAGTATTATCAACAGCATGTTTAAAAAAATTATCTTTGGAGGATTCCAAATTCCTTTCCCCTAAGAATGTAAAAGCCCCTTGGTTTCTGAGGCTGAAGTGGGTTGCTTTGTTTGCTTGTTTTTTGCTCTGACCATCACCATCTTGCCATTCTTACTCATCTTTGAAAGCCTGGGGTTTTTCAGACATTCATTCATGGTTTAATAGAATTGGTTCTGTGAATTGCTAACTTTCCCATTTATTAGGGTACATATAGTGATTGCACATAAGATCCCTGTAGCAACTTGCATGTGAGTTATCATGACAAAATAATCCTAGGAAAGTGTTTATGCATTTTGTCTCTTAATATTATTTAACATCTAGAAAGAAGGAAACTTTGTGCCATCCAACCAGCAAATGTTCCTTGGACTGCAGTTTGGGAAACTGCTCTGTTTTGTCTCTGGTTAAGTCATTAAATATCGTGATGGCTACCTTGGAATTCATGTGTTCTTACCATTACAGATTGGCTGTGTGGAAAAGGAGGACTTAATGTGCCCATGTCCTGTGCTTAAATCTTAGGAAGATGGGATGCCCAGATAGTTTGCCAGTTTAGCACACCAAAGTGCAAGTGCCAACAGAATTGAAGCAGAAAGAATATGCTGGAGGGATGGGAGTATGAGTGAAATCAGCCCTTTTTGCTGTAATTTGTTAATGCAGCTTTAATTGAAAATAAAAATGAAAGGTTCTATTTCTAGATTGGTAGCATTTATGAATTTGGTTTCTCTAGGTTTTGGTCACATACTACTGTTCCTTGAGATTCCCTCTCTGTATGTAAAATAGGCTGATGCCAGTAAAATGCTACTATCTTTGTGCCAGAGCACTGGAAACACACTCTACAGGCTGCTACTGAGGAATGTCATCTGCAAGTTCAGAAATTACTAATTAGCTGGCAGATACTTATCTGTTGGTTGGCCAACTGGCAGGAAAGACAGAACAAGAAGTTGCCGAGTATGTGCTTTAGACGTTCTGTCATGACAGCACTAATTTGAGGCTTTTTTGGTCTACCCAGCCAATGATTTATTCACAATCTGCTAGGTACTGCTCTTTTGAATTTGTCTGAGGTTCCCCAAAAGATTTAGAGGCTGCAAGTCAAGGGATTGTTGGAACTAGCAGACTAACAGTTTGATCACTGAAGTTTTGTTTTTGTTGAAGACCAGATTTAAAAAACAGCCGTGCAGTTATCTTTTAAAAGAGGCTTATACATTCAGTATATAGTCAGAAATCTTACTGGCCAATGGTTGGTAATTGTCTTAAAGGTTACATTACTATTTTAATGAATATAAAATTCTTTAAATTTCAGTTTCTATTGTTTGTTTAAAATCTCAGTTTTTACAAACTCAAGTCATTATCGGTTATATCTCATAAAGTTATGGGAAGTTTTAAGATGGTTAATTCCAAATAAAATAATCTTTTGTAGTTTGTTGCAGCTACTTTAAGTTTAGTGTTATTGCTATAGCGACGGTGTCCAGGTTATATGTATTGCTAAGAAGATTTCTTGAGTCTGTTTATAATTTGTATCAGATATGGCATGAGATGCAGGATAATTGTCTTTTAAAGACACTACTTCTAGAAAGGTTACAGACCTGCACAGGCTTCCCTGGGAAGTCTGGCTTAAAGGGAGCAAGCTCAGGGACTGCATATGCCATTAGACTTTCTCTGCCAAAATTGCTCTAACCTTTGTCATGCTTGCTAATGGCTTGCACATTACCATGTCCTTTTATTTCTCTTCAGTATGGACAAAATGGGCTCATTTAACATTATGGATCAGACTGACAGTTGTTTATGGTTCTGCCAGCCTGCATGAAAAGATTTATGCAGGCTGAAGGTCTGGCCCTGTGAATTCCTGATCAATGTGGTCTTGTCATGTTACATTTATGATGATGGAATTGATGTGTTTGTGTCTGATTTATGTAAAAGAAAGTGGAGATGATATAGATGATTTTTTTTTTTTTTTTTTTTAAATTTGCATGATGAGAAGCATGAGCTTTCTTTACTTCTTCTGTTTGGTGGGTTTTTTTGAGAGGAAAAACTTTATATAATTTATATGACCAAAGTAAGGAATCCTCCTTCTTTTTATTTACTCCAATCAGAATGCTTTCAAGAAAGTGAACATCTCAAGGAAAGCCTAAAATGTTGCTTGCTGCATCTCTTTGGAGCTATTGTGGCTGGTGGTCAGGTAAGGATGTTCCAAGTTCTTTTCAGCTGCTGAAGCTCCAAATGCCCGTTCATTATTTAAGGCCTATAAATACTCCAATCCCCATAAATGAGAATAATTTGTTTGTCTTATGAAGGTCATTCTGTGCCATAGTATCTAAATGCTAAAAGCTAGGTCATGCTTTCAAGCAGTCAACATCCATTGTCTTGGCTCGCTTCTATAATGTGTTACTTAGTCTGGTCACAAGCAAATGTTAATTCTGATGATTCAGAAGAGAGAGCATTTTTAAATGTCGGAAGCAGGAAAGCCAGGCACTGCTCCACCAGGGAAGGCAAGCTGAGACTGATGATCAGGCAGACAGAGGCAGCTGACCTCACTGACAAAAGGTGCAGTCTCACTATACGAGGTGATCAGAGCACGTCTGGTGGTAGTAACTAGGATCTACCAGCCCAGATCGCTAGACAGCTCTGTAGTGATGAAGCCTGAGATTAAGCCAGGAAGTCTGGTCAGCATATCAGTGTGGGGATTTGGTCTGGTGATGGTAACTAGGGCCAGTCAAGGGTCCAGGCCCATGTGACTGCGTCAGGCCTAAGGTCAAGCTGGGCAGTCAGGTCTGTGGGTCAGGTTCGAGACAGTACATGGCCAGGCATAGGCATGGCTACAGTGTCGCTCAGGTAGGTAAAAGGTTGAGAGCCACAGCTTGAATGCAGCTCCCTAGAGAAGTCAGGGAGTCCCTGGTAAGGCTCCTGAAAGGTCTCAACAAGGCCGGGCTCAGGGCCCAGACAAATGTTTTCTAATTATTATGTTGTTTTCAAAAATGTTTAAGTGTCATGAATCTTACGATCTAAAATGAAAATTCAAGTAGAGGTTTACCTAGGATTAGCAGTCTATCAAGGCTACCTTATAAAAATTTTGTAATATGCATTTAAATTATATTTCCTTTTCCCTATAAGCATTCTCTTTGAAAAAGAAAGCCTAGTTAAGTGAAAAGATGGGATGCATTTTATCTGTGGCCATCAATATGATCCAAGTAGAATGTTTCATATTTATTTAACAATTACAGGAAATTAACAGATGTAATACTTGTTGCATGATTCAGATAATTCAGATAGAAACTGCTGGTTTAAAGAGGTTTGATTTTGTTGAATTTAGTCTTTTTTCCTTAATCACTTCTTTTCCCCCATGGGTTTCAGCGGAATGCTCTTCAAGCAGTATCTCCTGCCACCATGGAAGTCTTGATGCGTGTTTTAGCAGACTGTGACAACTGGGATGATGGGAGCCCTGAGGAAGTGAGCAGGAAGGCAGAGCTGACTCTGAAGTGCCTGACAGAAGTTGTCCATATCCTTCTAACCAGCAGTTCTGACCAGCGACAAGTGGAGACGAGTACAATATTGGAGAACTATTTCAAGTTGCTTAATTCAGACCATTCAGCTTTACCTAATCCAAGGCGATGCAGGAAGTGGGAGAGCAGGTTCATAGCACTACAGATCCAAATGCTGAGTGAGTATCCCATTGTGCAGTTCCTTTAAATATCTCTTGATATTAAGTCTGAAGCAAGTAATGATTGAACCCTGATAGTAATATAACTGAATGTTCTACAAAAAAATGTTCACTTGGCTAAGCAACTGAAAAATTTCAAACATTTCTTTATTGACGTTACTTTAGATGTATTCTTGTTTAATCATTCAATACAAAAAACCCAGAAGAAACTGTATCGGATTGCTACCATTTAACCAGAGTGTCAAGGTTCACGGACTGCCAGTCTATTAAAAAACCCGCCTTTTGCTAGGGAGCAGCTAACAGCCATCAGCACCTTAATTGCAGAATTTGATGGGCCTGTAATAAAATACCCATGTGGTGGCTGTTTTGTGATAGTCTGCTTTTCAAATGGCATTATTGTAAATGTTGGCCAGAAGTGATGGTCTGAAACAGTTGCATTAAAGTCACTGCATAAGAATTCAGGATTTGGAGTTTTTTCCGCTCTGATGTTCAGAATGGGAAATATAAATAAAGGTATTTCTTTTCCCAAACTTTCAAGAAAACTGAGGAATAGTACTGAGGCAAGGAAGAATGCTTACAGTGTAAGGCTGCTGTAGAATGCGGAGTAATTGCTTGATGAGGAAGCATTTGTGTGCTTTAAATAAAAGACATGCTGCTTATGTACTTACAAATGCCACTGACTTTAAACAGACCCCCAAAGCAATCAAAGATACTCAGTAGCTGAATTTTTCTTCAGATATAGTAGGTTATGTGATCGTTTTTACAACATCAAAATGTTTAGCTTTAGGCCTACTGCTCTGTGCTTAAAACGCACATCATTCTTGATCAAAGAATTCTCAACACATAGTTTGTTGTATACCTTTTTCCCCATGTTTTTTATGTAATGTGCAGAAAAAATGCTTGATGGATTTGGGAATTGTTTTGTCTTTGATGCCAGTTCTGTTTTAATTTTATAGATACCATCACAGACATGTTAGACTGCACAGATAGGCCTGTTCTGCAGGCAATTTTCCTTAACAGTAACTGCTTTGAGCATCTCATTCGACTGTTGCAGAACTGCAAGGTAAATTTTCCCTTCTCAGCATATATTTAATAATGAACGTCTCTTGTAATATTGCAGGTATATTAATTAACTTTATATCGTCCTTCTGAATTAGTTGCAATTTTATAGTGTTTACATACTGGAAGTAAAACTTTGGGTCGGCTAGAGCCACTAATGCCATGAAAGATCTGAAAGATCCAAGTTGCTCTAAAATATTTTTTTTCATTCCAATGAAGTAGAGGTGTTTCTTGTCTGTCTTGGTTAAAGCAATTAATGCTTACTTGAGTCTTCAGCAAAATGCCTTTACAGACCCTGCTCAGTCTCTTAAAATCTGTTAAGATTGTAACTGGGATCAATTCCCCCACCACCGCCTTTTTTGTTTGGTTTAATTTTTATATTCTGTCACTGGATTGCTACGAAGTCACTTAAAACTGCTGCCAGATGGAGGTCTGAATTCTAATTTGAGAGGCATATTTTTCCATTTAAAAAAAACCAAACCTTGCTGGTGTGCCTTTAAGTGTTTCAAAATATTTGAGTCTTGTGTAGCTGACATAAAACATGAGCTCAAGCTGTTCTTTGATTGTTCTTTTCCTTCCACATAAGATTTAGTGTTTACATAGATGTTGTGTTTTCATCTCAGTCCTAGATGGTCATAATTTCCAAGCTAGTGTCTTCCATTGATGGCTTTCTAGATTTCATTTTCCCCTGTGCAAAAGAACATAAATAATGATGTAACTCTGTGGAATATTTTACTTATCTTTTGTGTGATATGTTGGTAGCCTAGCTATTTTGAGATATTTCTAATGCTAGATAATCTAATGCTAGCTACAGTATGCAATTTGATTCAAATCCATTTAGATTTTGGATTAGAACATATTTCAGTACAGTAATATTTTAAAAATAAATGTGTTTGGATTATGTCTTAAATGTAGTTATAATTAGCGGGAGAATGCCAGCTGACCTGAAGTGTTTTGAATAGTGTTTGTAGTTTATCTCCTGAAATACATTGCTTGACCTTTCCATTCCCCTCCTCTGGGAATCTGTGCCTATTTTTGTACTGACCTTGTACTCTATAAGAAATTTCTTTAGTTTCTTCTTAAATCATCAAGCAGTGTGATGTTTACCTGTTTATGGAGACTCTAGCTATGTTCTGGCTTTCTTGTAAACAACTGTGGAATTTAAGCAAGCAGGAACTGCTACTCCATTTCTGCAGTTTGCTCCTTTTATTTATTTTCTGCCTGTACGTATGGCATAAGTTACGCTTTTTTGAGGCATTTTTTCCTGTGATGCAGTCTCACATATTAGTGTGGTTGGTTGAATATCCATACTGCCAGTTTGCTACATAGTAGGGCTTTTTTAACCTTTCACAGTCCAAATACCCCCAAGGATGAGTAGTGGGGCCAGGGTAGAAGCTGGGAAGGTGTTATATATTTGTGTTTTCCAATGTACTGCATCTCCATTCTTTTTCAAAGCTAAATAGCAAAGATTAATTTATCTGTGGAATTAGGATTTCTCCTAATTAGCTGGGGGTGGAGACCCTATTTCTAGATGTTTTTTCTTTACTTACAAAAACCTTGCTACTGGATTCACCAGCAAGCTGTGTAAAGCAGCTCTGCAGATAGCAGGAGAGTCCATATACATACCTGAATCTAAGGAAGCTACTGGACCTTCAGCAAATATGGAGTGAAAGGAATTTTCATGGAAAGGAAGAGTAAAGAAAATTCACAGCACTATTTCTGCTATAGATATCCTAAAGAACTTGAGGTATTCAAGGCCATGCTTCTAGTCATACTTCCAAGTCACTTGCAGTTCAACAGTTTTCTAGATATAAATTTTTTTTCATGTTTTCTGATTTTAAAGCTTATGGGAAAATTGTCTTCCTTTAATTATGCTCTAGGGTTACAGATCTGCACAAAAGCTTTTCAAAACTGCTTGGTTAAGTTTTGATGATCTCAAGGTTTCTTTTTGCATGTGACATCTGAAAAGAGGGCCTGTACTTTAGAGGTGCAAGGAGGTGTTTATTCTGTAATGTCATTTAACAAGCTGCTTTGTTGGTCCTGAATCTTGTCTCATCTATTAAACCTCCTAGAGGTCAGACTTTGAGCAAAGCGCAATGACCTCTAGCAGTATACCTGGTTAAACAAAAAAAAATTCAGAACAGCTTGTAAATAGAAGAATTAAAACCATATGGACATTGTAATAAAAATCCATTTTACAGGTATTATCAGCATTTAAGTAACCCATATGAAAAATTTGATGGTTTATTTTCATGTCTGCATTTGCTTCTGTTTAGTGTTCTTTCCACTTGTTAATGTTATAATCCTCTAAGGCATATTATAGTTATTCTGTAGTGTTAAGTGCTCTTGACTCTGATGTACCTTTCAAAATGACTTGTGTTTCTAACTACGTGCCTTCACACCTATGTAAGTCAAACCAGTATCTTGAGTGTTGTCCTTCTGTTTGCCCTAATTTATGGAAGTTGATATCTCAGGTTGTTCCTCTTCAGAGAGATTGCCTAACAGATAATGGAACAAAACGTATGAGGGGAAAAAAAGAGAAATGCTTAGTTTTTATTCACTAAAGGAAAGTGTTGTTCCCCTTTTTTTTTTTTTTTTTTTGAGGGGACTTTTAAAACATTTTGGTGAGGGATTTTTTAAACACTTTAATAGAATCTAAAAACATAAGATAAATTTTAGTCCTAAATAGGTTGCAGCTAAACTTTGCACACAAAGTTACTACAGTCAATTATGAAGATATTTGGGTGAGCTTTAAAATTCAAATTCGGAAACTTACTAGGTATCTAACTACTGTACGGAGAGCATTTTCTTAGCCAAAGATGCAGTATAGATGTATGTTTGATTTAAAGCTGTTTACAATCTGTCTGAATCTTAGGAGGATGGAAGAGATATTTTACCCTTCTTCCTGTCCTAAAGATTATGTGCCTTCGAAATTCTGCTGATGTTGCTGTTGGAAGATTAAAATATTCTGTCTAGGTATCTTCAGCCTTCACCTAGGATGAAACATAAGTAGAAAATGGTGAAACATCTCTATCCATTTCTTTGCTAATGCCCCACTCTTGTCTTTATTTCTTTATAAATAAATTTTTGAAAACCTCCTGTCATATTGCATATTGTGAATGAAATCACACTTTCTAAGCCAGTGACCAGTATAAATTCCAGATAAATCTGTTTTCTTGTCTCAGTGATTACATATTTTCATTTAGTTATGGTGGGGGGAAAAAAAGCAATTACTATTTAGCAAAAATACAGCGTAATCTTCAGTATCCTAAGAATTAACAGAAGACTAGTATTAATAGAGGATTGTGTCTCACCAGTGTGAGAACTCTTTTTTTTTTTTTTTTTTTTTTTTTTTTTCAAATCCAAGGCAGCCTTCACAGGTTTGGCTGCAGGTAACTAATGCAATTATTTCCATTATTCTTGTCTCTGTTTCTAACAGCTGTTTTTAAATGCTAACAATAAAGTGGCAGACAAGAGTGAGAAAGACCTTGCCAACAAATTACTGACAGAAATGAATGAGGACCAGGTACCTACCTAACCTGTATTTTTCTTCGGTTGAAGTCAAGACACAATCACAGGAAAACTGATTCCTGTGCTTCACCTTAACCATCCTCTATAAGCCTTCTGCAGCAAGATGATCTTGTGTTGCTGCACATATCAGTATTTCCTGTCCCTGGAAAATAATCTTCCTGAATAACGTATTGAATTCCACCTCAGTTTTATTAATCTGCTTCAAAATGCAGATATTTAGAATAGATTGAGCCTCAGTTATGGTTCTTTTAAGGAAAAGGTGAAGTACATGAATGGAATCCAAATAAATTCTCTCAACCTGGTGGTGATTTCTCCCCCCCCTCCCCTCCCCTCCCCCCTTTTCTCTTTTTTGCTTCTTTGTCTCAGCACTGTGGTGTTTTGGATTCTGGGGCCTTGTTTGTGAATCTCAATGGTTGTATTTGATGTTCTGATTCTTTGCTTGTCATCAAGAACAAGTGTTCACAAAACAATGGACAGGCTGAATCAGGGAGGTAGGAATAGCCTGTTGCTTTAATTTTCCCAAAATATTGTGGAAAGTTTCAAATGCAAATTGTTCTTGTATTTTATAGTAGAATGATTTGTTCTGATTAAAATGTAAAGAAATGCTAAATACAAGGTATGGTTATCTACAAATTGTGATTCTAACTAATAGCTCTGGCTTTTTTAGAAACTTTTTTAGTGCAACATTCTAACCACATGTAAATGTATGTTCACATCTTGCACTGCCTTCTGATGCTTGACATTTCATTTTCAAAATATGTCTGATATGCATATAATATTTCAGAGATAACAAAACAGAGTATGTTTGTTTGCACAGTTTTGCTAACTAGGTTTACTGATGGATGCGATATAGTACTCCAACATTTTTGTCCCTAAAACCACCATAGAAATATCAATATCAATAAGAATTATAGAAAAAAAACCAACAACAAACAACTCAAAAGATGACTTAAATTGGAAAAAGAGATGTTGATCAATGCAATGAAGCTATGAGTGAGGCAGCCACCTTACTGTGCTGGTGTGACATTTCACAATTTGTGTGTATGTTGCATTGGCCTGTAGGGACTTGGATAGAAAAGAAAACCGTTTACATGAACTGCAGGTGCCTGATTGTCCAGCAGCACACACACACATGTATGGCGAGAGGTTTCCTAATTTGTTTTCCTCCCTCCCTCTTGAGGTTGTCCATTAGCCGCATGAGGAAAACCTGTTTGTCCATCGGAGTATTTGAAGTGCAATGTGTGTTGTGAATGCTTCTTTCCTCTTGAAGTGTGTGGCTAGCTGTCTACTCTTACGTAATTCCTTGTAGGCCTTGGGGTTATGAAATCTTGACTGGTGGGGAAATGATTTTTGAAGCATGTTAGCAAACTCCTGGATTCCCTCCTGGCAGGAGGACACTACAGATTTCAGAGTTGAACTGTCTTTGTGCATTTGTATATAACTTCTCTACCTGTTACTTTCAGGTGTTTCAGGGACACCTGGACTGCTTGGCAGTGTCAACCATTCAAGCCCTCACAGCAGTAATGCACAAGTCTCCAGCTGCTAAGGTAACAACAGTATATATGCAAAGGTCTGTTTCCAGTTAGTGTTTTTATCACAATACCTTGATGAATCTTGCTCAGGAAGATGAGCAGATTGTGGTCATGGATTCGTGCCGGATAGGAGTAGCTGATTAGCATCCCATATCCCTTTATATGTGTCTAGTGGCTGGACACTGAGCCATCTTTGTGTCAAAACTGGAAGATCAGAGTGTTGGAGCCTTTGTAAAGGAAGTACATCATTACTTCTCCCATGAATATGTGGTGTAGAATTAATGGGTATTTGCAGAAATTTTCAGACAGAAGTTTTTGTGTTGTAGTTTTATGATTGTCATTAAGCTGACCCAGGACAATATTGCTGTCCAAATGGTGGTCTTGCTCTTCCTCTGCCCCTCCTTAGTAGTTATTCTTGTGATTTGATAAATGCATAGGTTGTGGTTAGTTTGTGAATCTGACTGGAAGCTAAGCCCACAGAAAAATAATGTATTTATGCTTAGATTGCTGACTTAATTTGATTCACCCCATGGTTGAATGATTTCCTAGTCTTGGTATGGAGAAAGAGATGAGGCTGCACAGTGGAGACTAAAGGAAGAGTGGGAGTCATCTGATTTGGTTGCTACTTGCGATACAGTCTAAGTGAGAAACAACAGGGTGACTTATGCTCCTCCAGAGCATTACTCAGAGTTCTTATTTCTCCACTGACTCTGGAAAGCCTCAGAAGAGTTTTGTTGGACATGGGGACTGACTGTGATTCACAAAGGATCAGTAAATTTTTCAATTATACTTCCACTGCAGTATATGTTTTTTTTCTTTCCGTATTTACCTAAGCAATCATCTCACTTCTGCTGACAGAGTCATCCTTAAAAAAAAAAGTGCAGTACAGCTGGGGAAAGAGTATCCATTCTATATGATGTGTTAGCTGTTTACTAACTAAACCATAAATGGATGCTATTGTTTGTATTTTTCTGCTTGATTATGTTTTCTTCTTCATGTAAAATCAATTAGTTTTCAGAAAAAATTCCTTGAAACATTTTTGTAATTTTTGAAGTGTTTAGGATGGGTGGTTTTTAATCAAGCTGGTCTTGGAAAATCTTTCACTCAGAAATTAATATCTGAATACTTCTAATTCTCAATGTAATAATTTCATGCTACAGTTTGCATTTAAAAATTAAGCTATTAGTATTTTGTGATAGAATTAACATTTTGACTTATACAAAAGCAATTATATTCTTGTATAGGTAATTACTAAAATATAACTTTGATCTTTTATTTGTTTATCTGCATGCTGCAGTGAGAACCTTCTCAACTGCAGCATGCTAGAGATAGCACAATGGATGTATTATCAAAAAGAGATTTCTAGCCCAAAAAACATTATGCTTGATTTCTAATTATTTTGTGTCTTAATATTGTGTTAAATTAGAACCTGCTGCAGTAGACAAGCAATTTTTGTCTTTTATTTGTTACTGAGACTGGGATTTTTATCCTCAGGAGGTCTTCAAGGAGAGGATTGGTTATGCACACATATATGAGGTACTAAAATCCTTGGGTCAGCCCTCACGGGAATTGCTGGAAGAACTCATGAATATGGTGAGAGGTGCTTGCTTTGAATGCTAAAATGCTTACATCTTTTCAACAGTACTTCTAGCCATATTTTGTTAAACTTCATGTCTGAGTTCTCTGCTGTTTTTCAGGCTGTTGAAGGTGACCACATGGCTGTTGGGATACTAGGCATTAGTAATGTCCAGCCCTTGTTGCTGCTTATCCAGTGGCTTCCAGAACTAGAATCACATGACCTGCAGATTTTCATCTCAAATTGGTTGAGGCGAATCTGCTGTATTAACAGACAGAGTCGTGCCACGTGTGTCAATGCGAACATGGTCATCCGTATCATTGAGACACTAAATTCCCATTCTGCGCTCCATTGTACTTGTGCAGAGAACCTGATTGCCCTTCTGGGCTCTTTGGGGAGCCAGTCAATGGGCTCAGAAGAACTGCTTCAGCTAATACGGCTCCTGAGGACTGAGGAACCAAAACGAGCTCACCCTTACGTTGTTCCAGTGATGCGAGCCATTCTAGCAATGGCCCGAAAGCAGGGCATGGCTAGTGCCTTGCAGTATTTCAACTTGTGTCACAGCATGGCTGGAATTGCTGTTCCATCAATTCATAAGTGGCCAGGCTCTGCATTTTCTTTCAACGCTTGGCTCTGCCTTGACCAGGACCGGGTGGACCCTAGCGCGAATGGCAAAAGTGGCAAGAGGAAGCAACTCTATAGGTATAGTTACTATAACTACTTCAACAGTACAAATCTAAGTCATCTGTTCCCTGTGCCATATTGTACCCTCTGACATGTGGTACTTCTGCTTATCTTCAGAGAATGCAATATATAGTGCTTAGTTTGTAAAAGGGAGCAGTTTCATCTCTCACCAGAGCCAGGCTGTGTTACAGAAATAAGCATGTAGTTACTCAGTTATAATGCTTTCTTGTCTACAGTTTCAATATCCATAACTCCAAATTGTGTTAAGGTTCATAGCTTAAACAAACAAAACAACATAAAAAAAACCCCAAACCAACCCCAAAATAGAGCAGCCTTCCCACTGTTTCTTGTAAAGGTAATAAAATCTGTTTTCTGTATGAGAACACAATGAAAAGAACACCTTGATTTGTTTAAATAGACATTGATACGGATGGGTTTTAGTATAATTTAACTTTCTGGGTACGTTCATCATCAAACAAAATGCAGAATGGGGGAATACTAGTTGAAGAATCTCTCGCTTCCTTCAGTGCATGTTACTGCACTGCAGTTTCAGGGAAAATGTTAACGAATGCAATTTTAGTTGTAACAGTATTTTCCAAACCTTTGTGTCTTAGAGTGTTACTTTTGTTTATTAATAATCATGGTAGCAGGTGGAAACCCCTTGGATTTCTGCAGCTGCCTTGTCTATTTGTATAGCACAGGCCTGATGAAGGGTGCCATCTGATAAACTGCCCCAAGACTGTTTCCAGAGTTTGTCAGTGTGTCCCACTAAAGATCTTAAGTAGACTAGTTCTGGAAAACTGGGGTGGAATTGCACTGCAAAGTAAAGCTGTGATTGTATTTCAATGTGTTGATATTATATCAATAACTGACTGGTTTTCTATCATGTTACATACAATTTTGACGACATTATTCTAGTTCTGGTAAGCTAAAACAGTAGTGTATTGAAATTAATACAAAAAAGAGGAAACTTAAAATTCCAATTTCAGCTTGAAATGTTAAGCACACAACTGAATTAAAATTATTAAAATTGGTCTAGCTGCTATGTTTTACAGTGTTTAATTGTAAGAAAGCTTATGTCTATTGAAATTGTCTATAATATTCATTCTTTGTGTGTCTTTATGTGTTACCTTGATAGATGCAGGCATTTGATAGCAATTAATGCATTCACTTGGAATAATGGTACCTAAGGGTATGCGGCAGGTTTTGATAGCTGTTCACAATGTGTATATAATTTTTTGTATTCAAGTATTTAAAAAAATGAAAGGTTTCTCAAGGCAAACCTGTGCTTGCAGGGCTTATTTATAGATAGCTGCTTACAGATGATTTTCTTCATTATATGAGTGAAATAAGAATGACTACATTTACATTTTGCACTAAGGTAAGGTTCCTGCTGATAGATGATCAGAAATAAAAATAAATCATGGGTGATACTTATTTCCTCGTCACACAGTTTTAATGTAGATTTGTATATAAAATTAACGACTGAACTTTCTGCGTTTTCTAGAAGAGCTATACCATGTGCTGTATCGATCTTTAAAATAAATAAAATCTCTTTATACAACACTATGATGTGAAAGAAGGTAAATGGAGAAAACATGTCTACTAATTGTAACAGTAATGTCAGGAATCTGCATGCAACACTGGCAACTTTACCAGGGGCAATAGTAAATACTGGATGAGTGACAAATGGCTTAAGTTGGTTCTCTCCTTAATGAATGAACGGTAGATGATTTCCAATAGTTTTGGTGAAGTCCTTGATTGTTTGCTTTGTTGTCTTTTTCTGTAGCTTTTTTACAGGAAGTGGTATGGGTTTTGAAGCATTTATTACATGCTCTGGGGTATTGGTGGTTGCAGTTTGCACAAAGAGAGAATATGCAACAGTGATGCTGCCTGACCATTGTTTTTTTGACTCTCTCTGGGTAAGATTTGATACTGAAAAACACTTTGTTTAAAATAGTACTGTTAGCTCAGAAGTCAAAGTTGGGGTTTTTTTTGTTGTTTTACAAATGGTCTATTTTCTCATGTTTAAATAATTCATTGCATAAGAACAGATCTAATCTCAAATAATGCAAGCAATTTTCATGTAGATTAGTGGTAGATTGAGCTAAATTATGCCTATGTTAGGCATTTCTTATTGATAAACTGTTTACAACACTGTACTTAGATTTTTTTTTTTTTTTAATATTAAATTTGAACAAGCATAGGTGTCTATGGTGCTGTGTGAACGAATCAAATGTGCTGCTGTGTTTCCACTTTGCCTTTTTCTATTCCCATATTTAAAGACAGAAATTATTGTGAAAGAGCTGTATCTCTTTCCCTTCAAAAACCTGTTTGCGTGTGAACTACTTAAAAGTGGAAGCAGCTGATATGTGGTCTTCTTGTTGATGCTTTGGATTTATTTTCTTAAGTGATTTTCTCACCAGATTAGTAGAGAGGAAGTTAAATATTTTCATGCTGTCATTTCACTGCTTTTTAATAATGACTTAATTATTTATATTGCTTAACCAGCACAACATAACTATTGTTCACATGCCTGGAAAGAGGCCCTTTGGTCAGAGCCTTGTGTACATCTACGTCAATGGACAACAGAAGGTCTCTGCCCCACTTCGATTCCCTGCCATGAATGAAGTAAGTTCACCTTCTGAGCTATACCCCTGTTGTGATGAGCTCTTGTAGAAAATGAGAACATAGTTAGCTTTTTTAATTTAGAAATTGTGTAAGAGTTTAAGATAGCTTAGCCTATTGCTAATAAGCTTCTGTTCAACTTTGGACAGTGTCCAGAGTATCAATTTGGAGTATAACTAACCATTAATTAATGCTTGTTTAGTCATCTTGGTTTAAAAATGAAACAAAACCCCACTTCATTATCTTGAATATTTATTTACCTCATTACCTCAAAATAATTACCTGAGCATATTGATATTATTTATGAATAAATCATAATAAATCACAGCTCTGCTAGTAGGATTGGTGTGACAGTACTCAGTGAGGAATATTCCCTACTGTTTTCAGCAGTAATTTTTTTACTTGTATTTTCTGTATGTTCCCTTAATATGCTAATCTTATACCTGCTTTGTTAGCTGGGTAATTAGTTTACACGCAGTTATTCTAACCATTTCAAATGTGTACACGTTTAGCCTTTAAAAAACCACAGCGGCCGTTGAAATGAGTACATGTCATGTTTAGTTTTCTTTGTAAGCATTATCCATTCTTTTTGTGGAACAAATCCATTTTAACTGGGCTACAATACTGAATATTCTTCCCTCTTTTGTAAGTCAGTATAATGCTTAAAAAATGAGAGTAAATATAACTTCCATTGTGAGATAAAACTCTGGATTTTAGCCCATCTGTAGAATAAGCACTATAAATATCAAGATATTTGAAAGCAGAGCAAGGAAGCTTCTGATGACAGCATCTATTTGAATGGAATAACTGATACTGATACAAGAAATGTGCAGTTAGCAGATATGCTGGGCTAGTATTTTGAATTATAATCCAGAAGAGGAGCGGTTACCAGAGTATTTGGAGCACCATCCTTCCTCTCTGCGCTCCTGCCAGAGGTCATGCAACAGTTGAGGTGACCAAATTGCTCTTAATTGCAGGAAGGGCACTCTGCTGTTGTGGAAAGTACAGGTGGTTTTTTGGCTTCTTGTGCTGGATTGCTTCTTTTCCAGGTCATGCCAGAACTGGCTGCTCTTGGCTTAATTTATTTAGTTCAGGTTTGCCAGAGATAGTCTTCAGATCTGCTTTGTAAACTGTGAAAAAAAGGAGGTTAGATTTACAGTATGTTTTGTTTTCTTTCTTCCATGCGTGACTCTCCAGGCATTTATTTCTTGCTGCATTGGCTCAGCTGGTCAAAGAACAACAACTCCTCCTCCATCTCAGATACCAGATCCACCTTTTTCCTCCCCTATTATGCCCCACCGGACATCACTGGGGGGCATTCTCTCGACAGGAAGTTGGGGTGGGATGCTTGGAAAACCAGAGCTCATCACCAAGATGATCTCAGCAGGGACTCAGGACAGTGAATGGGGGTGTCCAACATCTTTGGAGGGCCAACTTGGATCAGTTATTATCTTTCATGAAGCACTGCAACCTCCTCAGGTGAAAGCATTATATTTAGCAGGTAAGCAGTGATTGTACTGGTTTTAGTGGAATAAAGGGGATGAGTTAGGGATGAGACCCACTGAGCTTTGCTCTACACATAATGAAAAAAGTTACAATCTGGAAGAATTGCAGAGCTGACAAAGTGAGAGTGCCTTATAACAAATAAGCTTAAAATGGAATAATAAGTATTATAAGTCTTATTTTAAATGTTATGCTTGCATGAGCTCGTCTGTTTATCATATGTATGGACCTGCCATAATCAAACTGTTAGGTAGTTTTTTCACTTGTAAGTTCTTAATTTTTGCTATTGTTTGCCTACATGTGACTTTAAGTTTGAGACTCTTCAAAATATTGCCCTTGTTTTGATAGGCCACTTAAAGGTGATTTATGCTTGAGGCTTGTTCCACAAGAATCAATTAATAATTAAGAGGTCATTAAAAAAAAATAAATCTGGTAAGCTATGTCTTAAAGTTCAAGGTGTAAGGTACTAGGTTCCATAATAATTTGAGGTTGTCAAAGATTAGTGTAAAAAGACTTCCATCATTTAAAGGAAATATTTGGTATTACTAAACAAAACTACCTTGAAGATTACTCATTTTCTGGATATTTTGGGCTTGATGACAGAGAGATTGGTGACAAATATGAGATGGGTATTTGTAAAGACAAAAACATTAAAGCTGTTTGAAGGTATAAATAAACCCCTTCTTTGTATAGTTTAGCTTTTTATCAGGAATTTATTTCTTTTTAAGCAGACTCTATGGAATGAGTGATTTAAGTCACAAAGCATATCTCAAATAGGTGTTCTATTTGTTGTTGCAACAAAGTAGTATAAAATTTGTGAAGGTCAATTTCAATATCCTGTGGACTCTTAAATATGTAAATACATTATTTTTGTACATAATTTATATATAATTTCTCTTAACAGGTCCAAACTGTTTAACTCCATGGAAGTCTCAAGAGGCTGAAGTTGGAGATCTCCCCGGTAAGGTGCTGCTTCATTATACGCCAAAGGTATGAAACAGTACATGATTTCTTTTTGATTAGTGAGCAGTGATTTCTGAATACATTCTAGATGGTCTTTTTTTTTTGCTTTGCTGTTTTATAGAACAGGTGAGCATGCCATCTTTACATGCTTATTATGGGAAGATAAAGAACAGCGAGAGTTTTCTTAAACTTTAATCTTGTACAGAGATAGTAGGTTTTGTTCTGTTTGGCAAAAGGACACATCTTGTACAATTGTGAATGTCAGATCTAAGATAACATATATGATGTTTCAGCGGTTCCAAATTGTTAAAACATTTTAATTTCAACATAATGTCACAAACTTCCTGAAACATATTAGCATCATTTGGAAAACTTATGTCTTCAAGGATCTGTAGCTTGTTTCCTAAATTAAACTGTAGCCTCTTTATCTGTTTAACAGGCCTGCAGAAACCCAATTTGTCTTGACCTGTCTTCAAATCTTTTACATGGAAGACTAACTGGAAACAAAGTAGTGAACTGGGATGTCAAGGTAAATGCATACTGAAGAAGCAGAACCTGGTGTAAATATGACCAGTGGCTGTATACGTTCACCTAACCTTTGGAATGTGGAAGTTGTTTATCATAATGCAAGTGACATTTAGCAGATACAGCATGTTTTTGTAATGAGAAGTAATGGGTTAATGCTGTGTAGCTGGAGTAGTATTACATTGCATTTATTGAGAATTTACGAGGGCTATTGCTCATAATGTCACAGGTAATTCATTAAGATATTTTGTGGTAGCTGACTACTCTTCATAATCTGTGTATGGAAAGCATTTTATCATCTCTAGGAGATTCTGTCATGGTTTTCTTGCATTTTTAATCTCTGAATTAGATTAAGATTAGAGTTAACACTTGTGACTTTGATGTTACTCATATAAAAAAATGTTACTGAATTGCAGACTAAGTTCAGCAGAAAACAAGGTGTGGAGTTAAAATATCACAAGAATATAACACTTTTTTAAAGAGATAAATTAATCTAGTTACCTTATTTACTTTGGTTTGGGGTTGGCAGGACTGATCTCACAGTCCAAAAGCCTCACTTCAGAGAAAACACCAAATACTCACTAAAGTGTTATATCTTATTCTTTCTCTGCTATACGCTGTCTAATATTTTTCCTTATTGTTGGATACATTGGGATATCTGATTCTTACAGGCTGTGCAAGTCATCTTTGTTTAACTTTGTTTTTCTAATCACAGCACTACTGCTGTATTAGTACTGGAGCTTAAAATGTAAAGTTCTCTGTCTAAACCTGCTTAAACATTTGACATACCGCTGAGGGATATGGTGTAGTTGGGTTAATGGTTGGACTGGATGATCTTCAAGGTCTTTTCCAACCTAGATGATTCCGTGATTCTATCATAGCAAAATTGTCCTGTATTTTGGGGTTTCCTTTTCTGTTTTGTTTTCTTAACCTAACACACTGGGTCCTTATGGTCTTTTGGTTAATCAGTTAATTTTTTTAGTCTCACACCACTGACAGTTCAGATCTGACTTTTTACTGTAGAATTCAAATTTACAATTTTGTCAGCTCAACTGCCAACGAGATTTAGTATTAATGGTTTAGACTTTGTTGGTGCTCCACAAACAGAATACTGTTTGGGCAAGTTGCATGTCCATTAGTTGTCTTCTGTGTAAAATACCAGATGCTCTTTTAGATGCTAGTTCTTGGAGAGGAGGACAAAACCAGCTTTTAATAAATACCTTTGTGTACCTGTCTGCTTGTTTCTTCCCTGATCATTAACACACATAAATATCAAAAATTAAAGTCAGGCTTAGCTCTGTGCATGAGGAAATCAAGTTATTTGCAGTATCAGAATTTGATCCAGAAACAGTGACATAAATAAAGGTCTATTTCTTTTAAATTTAGATAGCATATATCCAATTCTGTTTTATGGGCAGAATATTTGATTAAGGGCTCTTAGCTTTGAGAAAAAATATGAAAATACAAAAAAATATGAAAATATTATATAAATAGTTTGAAAATACTGCAATTTGTTCTCTTCACCCTGTAGTGGGAAGAGGGACGTGTGAGGAGTATTTATATATCTAGATGTACGGGAAAGCATATTTTGAGTAGAGTTTTAGGAGAATCATTAACAAACACTATGGGATTTAGCACCCTCTTGAGGAGGACTAGTGAGGAAAAAACACAAGAGCTGATAAGGAGCCTACCCTGTAGACAGGTACAGCATGGAAGGAGCTAGTTACTGCTGTCTTGTTGTTCAGACAAATTCTGGTTTTCAGCTTTAAGTTGTTTTCTGTTTCCAAAAACTGCAGTTCTGTGGTGCCCCTTGTTCTGCTCAAGGAACATAGAAATCTTCATCCGTGAGATTAAATTTTGCAGATTTAAAAAACTTTCTTAATTTAAATGTTTAATTTTGTTAAATTCACTTGAATAAATGTGGGCTGGAGAGTGGGCATTGTAAAGGCACATGGAGCAGAGTAACAATTGAAAGAGTAGAAAATGATGGAGAAGAAAAGGCTGATGTTCCCCACTTCTCCCCAGCTTTTCTGACTGGCAAGGGAGAGTGATATCCCACGTTAATAGGCTGGCTTACAGGATATTGGGTTTTTTTGGCTGTTTACTACACAATAGTTTTCATTGGAGAATTGAATAGGTGTCTTTGACTAGCTTGCTGAGGCCCTGACTTTGTACGTGGCATTGTGAATCGCCTCTAGAAATCTTGTGACTTGAATATGTTACGCCTTACTACAAGAAGCACTGCTTGAAGTGTCATGTTATCCCTGCTTATGAGGGGGGGGGG